AGGGGTAGGCAACCTTTCCCCTTTAAGGGCCGAGGGACTTCAGCTCCCAGAAGCCTCAGCCATGTTGGCCAATAGTCCCATGTTGGCCAATAGCTCCTGGGATTCTGGGAGCTGAAGTCCCTTGGCTCTTAAAGGGGAAAGGTTGCCTACCCCTGCCTCACATCAAGGTAATCGTGTCACCGAGGAGGTGCAAGGGGTGCGGACTGCACCGGATGACACCCCAGAGGGGGGGGGCACCCAGTTGGGGCCTCTGCCCCTGCCTCTACAGTCCTGGTCTCCTCAGGAGAATGGACTGGCAGCAATGAGCCAGGCTGAGCGCACATGCACCTCCCAGCTCCCCTTAGTGCCACCCCCTTCTCCTCTGAGGAGAAGGGGCTGGCGCTGAGGACTGCCGGGAGAAGTACATGCACTTCTCCTGGGTGCTTGCCACTGCTCCTTTCTCGTCTGAGCAGAAGGAGGTGGCGACAAGGATGGGGCCCATGGCAGGGCGGGTGGAGGGAGGCATGGGCGTGAGCTTGGCCTGCCCAAGGTCATGCCCGCGCCTCATTGCCGAAGCCCCTCCCCTTCTGCCTTTCAAGCCCCACCCTCCAGCACCAGGTGACACCAGTGGCAGAGATGCCACCGAGTACAGGTGGGTAAAAGGAGTATGGTGCAACAAAGGAGATATGGTAGAACATTTTTCCTCCAACCCTATATTTGTTTTGTCACTTATAGACACATAAAGTTACAATCATTGGGACTTATGTAAGTGATGACTAAAAATTCCCTTTCATTTCAGTGGTTCTACTCTCTTTGGGACTAATACTGCCCTATTTAGCCTATTTCCAAAATCAGGAATTCTGTCTTAGCAGACCACCTGACAGATAGGCAGAAGAACTGAGTGTCTATGGCAGGGGTAGGCAACCTTTCCCCTTTAAGGGCCGAGGGACTTCAGCTCCCAGAAGCCCCAGCCATGTTGATCAATAGTCCCATGTTGGCCAATAGCTCCTGGGATTCTGGGAGCTGAAGTCCCTTGGCCCTTAAAGGGGAAAGGTTGCCTACCCCTGGTCTATGGCATGCCAAAGACTGTGGACTGGAGAGACCAGGCATAGCACAGTGATGGAGTGTGGTCCCACATTGATTAACATGCACAGATACATGGAAAGATGCATAAGAACTGACAAACATCTGAAGATGGCAGCTGTCAGTCTACTTTGTAACAATCGTATTTGGATCTCCATAATTAGATGTCATTGAAATATGTTCCAAAGGACTTTAAAAACATGGCTCTGTTATTCCATCTCCAAAGGAAGAATGCTAGAATTAATCATCAGTCAGTTTCTCCCTTGTATTTCTGATGCCTCACACCCGTATTTCCATTTTCTTTCCTTTGTTTTTTTAAAAAGCACTAATCCATAACACCAAACATAACACCATATCAAGTTTCTAGTGGGAGAAAAAAACTAATAGCTTGAGAACGAACTGGTAATAAGACTCCAAAAGAACGTGGCTTTGAACAAGCAGGACACATCATCCTTTCCCCCTCACTGTTTGGAAAATTGTATTATCATGCCTGGAAAGTTTCATCATTGTCGCTGCTTCTATTATTACTGACCCTCAGAAGGGAAGATTCCCATCTTCCTGCAACTATGACAGAACTGAACATATAATGATGCATTAGATACTATGGTTGAAATATTAGGAAATATGAGAAACTACTGATCTTGCATAGGTTTACTTCTGAGTAAGCATGAATAAGATTCTGTAAGGGATACTGGAGAATTTTGTTTGGTCCACATTTTTAAATGGAAAAAGTTACTTTTTTAGACTACAGTTCCCAGAATCCCCTAGCCAGTATAGCCACTGACTTTTCAACCTTTGTCTTTGTTGTGTTCCTTCAAGTCATTTCCAATTTATGGAGACCCTAAGATGACCCTATCATGAGATATTCTTGGCAAGTTTCTTCAAAGGGGGGTTGCCATTACCAACCTCTGAGGCTGTGAGATTATGACTTGCTCAAGGTCACTGAGTAGGTTTCCATGGCTGAATGGGGGTTCAAACTCTGGTCTCCAGAGTCCTAGTTCAATGCTTCAACCACACCACCATGTTGGCTCACAGGTTTTAAAAGTAAATGAGGCTAATTCACATTTCCTCAATGAATATGCAGAATATATTTACGGTATCTTTCAGATTCTGTTGGGTTGGGTTGTTGTTGTTTTTTAATTTTGTGATCCCGGCTCAAAAATTATGTACCAAAACTGGGAAAAGATCCATTCAAAAAATCTTGTTATTAGGTAAAGCTGCATATAAATCATAAGTAGGGACAGCTGCATATATTAAAATAAGTGTCGGTCTTTGCATAATTTATAAATTAAAAAACAATGTGGAAATCAGACAGAACAGACATAGAAATGAGTAAGTCCCAAAACGACATAAACCAGACATTGACTGATTCATAGATCCCTAGGTTGGGTTGCCCATTTCTGCCAAAACCAATGTAACAATTTAGTTGTGACGATTCAGCTGACATCCTCTCACTTTCACCAGGACCTGTTTCAACTAACTGAGTCTGGATCTAATCCTGCATTTGTGAGGGCAAGGTGATGGTGTCAATAAAAATATTTCAAAACATAAAAGAAATATTTCCAAATGTACATTACACATGCATAGGAATATGTGACAGCATGAACATAGGGTTGTAGGGAAAATGTTTTACCATATCTCCTTTACTCCACTATAATCCTTTTGCCCACCCATCCCCTCCCCAATAAAGTAAGGAGAAATTTAAGATGCCTAAGAGCTAGGTATCATGAAGGCAATAGGAAAATATGTTACATAAACTAATTCATAGGGAAAAAAAGATGTTCTACTGCTCCAAAAATGCCATTACCCTCAGCATTGCTGCCAATACCAATGTATTCCTATGAATACAACATCTGTTAGAATGATTTTACCATTACTTCTTTCAGGTACCATTAAGCAATACTCACCCAGCATCTGAGCTGTTCCCACACAATAATGGATCTGTAGTGCCCTCTTTAATGTAGTAGTTGACTGTAATTAAAAAACAACAACAATACTATTGTCAGTTTCCAAGGTTTTTAACAAAAGCTCTGAAGAAACTTGCCAAGAAAATCCAATGATAGAGTCACCTTAGGGTCGCTATGAGTCAGAAATTACTTGGAGGCACGCAACAACAATAATACTATATATACTCAACTATAAACCCATCTCATGTATGCCAAGGGCAAGTTTTGGAGCCAAAACTATGGATTTTGATATGACCCGTCAAATGCTTTTTTCCTGCATAAAAACAAAACCCACCCAAAAATGGCACCCAAAAGTGACCTGATGTCATTTCCGGTGTGTTGCAATGTCCGGCGTGGCCTGTGGGGGACACAATAGGGAAAAACTACCCCACACACACATCTCATACTTATGTCCACTTCTGGTGTAGCTCAATACATCTGGAGAGCACCAGTTTAGAGAAAGATGCACTATATTAAAATCTCTGAAACTTTACTTGAGGGAATATGTACATATGTGTGTGCTTTCAAGTCACCTGTCAACTTATGGCAGCCTTGTGAATTTTACTGGGTCTTTTTATGAGATACTCAGAAAAGGTTTCCCTTTGACTTCCTCTAACCATTGCCTCCAGCACCTGGTATTTCTTGGCGATCCCCCTTCCAAGCACTAACCATGCCTGGCCCTGCTTAGCTTCCAAGAGCAGACAGGATCTGGTGCCTTGAGAATATTTGGGCAGTCACTTTGAGGATCGTACTACACTTTCCAGAATCTACCAGCTGCCATGACCATGAGCCTTCTAGCTCATGTTTTCTTCCTCATTAAGATTTTTTGCTTTCTTGACTCCACTGTGTTGTTCTTGGCCACACCTGTCCACCTTTTCACATGTGAAATGTTCCAGGGTATGCTGTCACTATGCAAAGAGCTTGAGAGGAAATTTAGGACACTCTTGCAACCCAAACTCCCTCCACCTTCATTTTGAGCAGCAATCCTGGCTTTTTAAAAACAACATCTAAGCCTTAGATGTTAAAGCCTTAGATGTTAAAAACAAACATCTAAGCACCCAAAGAGAACCTTATTTCCAGAGGAGTTGCATGATTTTAGAATCGATAAAGAGCAGCTATTTGCTCAAGTATTCTTCTTGTTGGGTTTTTTCTGTCCCCACCACACTGGAGAGATGCAGGGTGTGATGGTGTTGAGTGGAACTTAGCTGTCTTGGGATGTGACAAGGCGCCTATAAAGCAAAACAGCATGACCGCAGCAGGAAGGAATGTGCAGTGCACAGCCTCGTGCCAGTTACAGGATAGATAAAAGATAAAAGGGCCATGCATGCTTTCCTCCCCTCCCAACCGGGAACAGTTCCATTCAAGGGGAAATTGCTCTGGAGTAACACAAATGCAGGGACTGTTATTTGGGGACATTTGGCTTATTTATATCTGTGTGTTGAACATGGGACAAAGCGACATACACAGCGGAATAAGGGTATACAGCCCTGCAGTGGTAAAGGGGACTATAGCACTTCAGTTTGCAGATGGGTAATGCCAACCCAAATTTCCATGTTCTTTTATATTGAAATAAGGACAACAGCAACAACAACTCTCCCTGAAGGCAGAAAGCATAGAAGGGTACAGATTTCACTGTTATCTCTCTATGATTCTAGTTCTCAACTCACAAAAAAAATTAGCAGGGAAAGCATAAAAAGGGCAATTCCTCAGTTGCCAAATGATTTTTTTCCCTTAGGAAGAAGTTCCCGAATCACTTTCAAAAAGGCAAAAGAGAAGCCATGATTTACCAGAAACTGGCGTGAGAGGGAGAGGATCCATAAAGTGGGAGCATGTTGTTCTTGTTTGCCTTCAAGTCATTTCCGACTTATGGCAGCCCTAGGATGAACCCATCATGGGATTTTCTTGGGCAAGTTTTGCTTAGATGAGCTTTGCCATTGCCTTCTCCTGAGGCTGAGAGTGTGTGATGGGCCCAAGGTCACCCAGTGGGTTTCATGGCCAAGCAGGGAATCAAACCCTAGTCTCCAGAATCTCAGTCCAACACTCAAACCACTATGCCATGCATACAAGTACATTATCCCATAGTTGCAGGCCAGACTAGTCTCATTCTTAAGAAGTCGCTCTTTGACATCTGATCCTTAAGGAGATGCTCTTTGGCTTTGGTTTGCTTCTGCATATCCTTGGCCTTTGAAAAACCTCCACCTTTCCAGATGGATTAGCAGGAACAGGTTTCCCAGAGATCTGAAAACATTCCTTCCCTCTGGCAGGTAACTCATCTTCCTCTCAAGCAGAGGTGTAAAATCTGCCAGCACAACTTTCCAGCCACAAGAATAACTGGGTTTGAAAGCCAGCCTTTCAAATGACAAAGGAGCCTGAGTCATGGCAGCTTGAGTGTCTCGAGCAATGCAGAGAAGATGGCAGAGCGGAAATCACGCAGGTGAGAGACTAGATGGCCTTTGAGCTGGCAAAGGAACACCCATTGCCAACACGATCAGGGATGAAAACATCCATCACCTGCCAATGGAGTACGTCCCATCACCACCCACCAGAAGAATCTTCCTTGGTCCCCTTTGTAATGGAGTGATCACGTTCTCCTGGAGTTTCTTATACAGTGGAAAGGGATGCCAAGTATAGTCAAGCACAGATTCTAATCTTTAGGCAAGCTGATTTCGGTAAACTTAAGGAAATACTGGGTGTGATCTTGTGGTCAGGAATAGAAAAGAAGTAGAAGAGGAAGGAGGAGGAGTTCAGGAGGGATCTCTTCCAGCAGGCCTTCCCAGAATAACTTCCGGTTATAAGGAACCCGGCTATCTGCCTTGTGTCCCCTATAACTGTTGTATGCTGCCCATTGTTTTTGTTTTGTTTTTTGAGTTTTTATGCATAATGTATTAGTTTAATCTAGTTTTAAGGGGTGGGAGGGTTGGGGAAATAGGGATTGGTTGTTTTAATCTGTTTTCTGTTTTTAATTATGCTGTAACCCGCCCCAATTGCTGAGCAGAGGGGCGGGCTAGAAATAAAATATTATTATTATTATTATTCAAGATGGGTGGGAGTTTTTTTAAAGTGAGATATTAAAAGAACCATTTCAAACACTTCTAATGAGGAGTTAAAATGGGAGGTGTCTCAAGAAACCAGAATTTTCCATTTCAATTCCATGGTATTCCAGTTCAATAGAATATTCTGCCTCAGACTGTGGTAGAGTCTCCTTCTTTGAAGGTTTTTAAAAAGAGGCTGGATGGCTATCTGTTGGGAGTGCTTTGATTGTGCGTTCTTGCCTGTGAGGTCTTTTCCAACTCTATGAATCTACGATTCACGAGGGCCAGTCCTAACACGAGGCCCTGTGAGAAGTCACCTCAGGCAGTGGAGTCCAGAGGGAGGCAAAGGTACAATTTCTCTCCGTCTCAATCCAGGAGGGCCAGTTCTGCTTTAGAAAGCAACCACTACGAGCAGCTCCTCGGAACTGGCCTTTTTGAATGCTTGCCCTTGAGCAGGGGTAGGCAACCTTTCCCCTTTAAGGGCCGAGGGACTTCAGCTCCCAGAATCCCAGGAGCTATTGGCCAACATGGGACTATTGGCCAACATGGCTGAGACTTCTGGGAGCTGAAGTCCCTCGGCCCTTAAAGGGGAAAGGTTGCCTACCCCTGCCCTCGAGGGTCCTCAGAGCCAAGGCATTATGGGAGGGATGAGCTGGGGCATCCAGTGGCCTCACTAGCCTTGGTGTCACCTGGTGCAAGGGGGCTGTTGAGGGGGGGATGGCCTGCCACATCCCCTCCATTGCCTCACTCACCAGTCCCCCCCTCTCCAGTTGCCCGTCTGCCCATCACTTGGGGAGTAGCAGCAGTAGTTTCCCTTCCCTTTCCTCTCATCCCCTCCCTCTGCCTCACTCACTCTATCAGTTGCCAAACAAGATGGCAGAAGGAGAGCCAGGCAAGTGAGGCAGTGGAGGGGATGGGGGGCATGCACTCACCCCTCCTCCTCCACTACCCAGCTTGCTCCTTGGGCAAAAGCCAAGCAGTGGAGTAGCCATGAGAAGCAAGCATTCACTTCTTCCTCTTCCTCGTCCTCCTCCTTGAGGAGGAAGCCAAGCAACAGAGGGAAAGGAAGGATGAACACTCGCTGCTATGGCTGCTCCACTATCTGGCTTTCTCCCTGAGAAGTTCACCCCTCCTCCTCCTCCTCCTCTGTTGCTTACCTTCCTTCTCAGGGAGAGAATTGGGCAGCAGGGAAGGGGCATGTGCCAAGCACAGAAGCACTGACCCACACACACATCCCCCTGCAGCAGGAGGAAGGCCTGACCAGGGGTCACCCCTCATCGGAGGTAGCACATAGTGTGGTTCGTACTCCCCATACTCCCCCAATGACGCCACCAAGTATATAGTCTCTGCATAACTTTTCCAAGCACTCATCCACACCTGCTGTTTTCTGTAGCTATACCAGGGACCTCCAATGTAGATGGATTCCATAAGTACAGTCGGTCCTCAGTATCTACGGATTCTGCATCCACAGATTCGACCCACCATGATTCAAAAATATTCACACACACAAAAGTTCCCAAAAAGCAAACCTTGAATTTGCTATTTTATGCAAGTGATGCCATTTTACTATACCATTGTATATAATAAGACTTGAGTAGCCATGAATTTTGGCATCCACAGAGAGTCCTGATACCAAAACTCAGTGGATACGGAGGCCCCATTGTACAGTGTTACAAGCAAAAAGCTCCATTTATCCTAAGCTGAGAAAGCTGATGTACTTGAAAGAGGAAGCTCTCTGAAGACCTTAGCACTTCAGAAGACTCGTTTTCATACTCTCTGACCGTCCAGATCTGGCAGAGACACTCCTGACTAATACTCTATCATCCTACCATTTCAGCTACTTTTATAATACCCCCATTTCTATCTTCTCCTCCAACTTCCCCCACCCTTTTTCTTTGGTTTACTTCAATTGCTGCAATCCGAGTCCAAAGTGCAAAAATAGTTTGAGCTTAGGTAATTCTAGAGAATAGAGAGGCGAACAGGAGGGAAGAATCTTACCCTTCCCAGTAGGCTTAGGCAAAAGTAAACTTCTGCAACCACTCCTGTTCTTCCTCATTAACAAATATTGCCATCTTGATTGCACTTTGAAGTTGCTTCAGCACACAAATCCCTGTTTTCAGCTGTGACATGTTAGAGGGTCACAGTCAACTATGGAAGGGTCTTAACTAAAGAGTAAAGCATATTACTTGCCGGCAAACAGTCACAGGTTCAGTCCCTGGAATGTCCAAGTAGGGTTAGGGAAGAGCATTACTGTCTACCACCCAGGAAACATGAATCATAGAATCATAGAATCATAGAGTTAGAAGAGACCACAAGGGCCATCCAGTCCAACCCCCTGCCATGCAGGAACTCCCAATCAAAGCATCCCTGACAGATGGCCATCCAGCCTCTGCTTAAAGACCTCCAAGGAAGGAGACTCCACTACTCTCCGAGGGAGTGTGTTCACTGTCAAACAATTTAGACAATACTAGGCTAGATGGGCCAATGATTTGACTTAGTTTAATGTTCCAAGCCATAACCATGGCCTTCTTTCTTGGGGGAAGATGAAATCTGTCGATTCAGTTTGGTACCTCAATCAAAACAGAAACAATGGCCACTTACATAGGAGGCTGGGAGGCTCGATGCACAGAAAATAAGACTGCATTTGCACTGCAGAAATAATGCAGTTTGACACTGCTTTAACTGCCATGGCACAATGCTATGGAATTTATGGAATTTGTACTTTTGTGAGATATTTAGCCTTTCTCTGTCAGAGAGCCTTGGTGCCACAACAAATTACAAATCCTTGGATTCCATAACATTGAGCCATGGCAATTAAAGTATCAAACTGCATTATTTCTGCAGCTTGTATTATATCTTATGGGTCATGCATCTGGCATGAAGCTCAAAGGAAGTGTTCACTTTGTGGAACCCACTTTTTTAAAAAAACAAAAACAAAACTCAGCTACTAGTGGAAAAAAAGATTTCATGTTCCTGATGCATGCTGCTATTGATCTCTTTGTCTTCCTTCCTATGCAGACAGTGTATTTGCTTACTGCTATTTACATCTCATAAATCTAGGCTGAGTCATAACTCTCAAACTGCACTTTATTACTAAGTGTACCCTTAATATCTCCATTAAAACATATTTTTCAATGCCTGAAAACTTAAGCTTCTTTCCTAGAAACTATAATGTCCACCCACACATTAAAATTAACCATATAGTAGTGTGCATTTTTTTCTGATGAGCAGAAGTATTCTTTAAGTATTTCTTCAAGTATTATCTATTTTCTGAAGGGGTGTGCGCACTCACAAGTGCACATTCTTCACCAATCCCAAAGGGCTTCAGGGTATATGCAGTCACACTTTACTTCAAGGTGGATTGGTAATTGTTTGACTGACTGAACCCAAAGGATATCAACAATGATTCCTCCTCATCCTGGAGAGAAGTGACCAGTGGGGTGCCACAGGGTTCTGTCCTGGGATCAGTGCTATTCAACATCTTTATCAATGACTTTATCAATGCTTTGAGTTTGAGTTCCTGCATGGCAAAGGGTTGGACTGGATAGACCCTGTGGTCTCTTCCAATTCTATGATTCTATGACTTAGATGATGGAATAGAGGGCCTACTTACCAAATTTGCAGATGATTCTAAATTAGGAGGGGCAACTAATGAGGAACAGATAAAAATTCAAAATGATTTATGCACAGATATAGGATGGGTGACAATTGGCTTGGTTTGAGATTTAGCCCTTACTCCAGCATATTTCACTGGCAGCATCAGGCAATATGGTGCACATATCCTAGGGAGCCCTAGTGGCGCAGTGGTTAAATGCGGGTACTGCAGCCACTCAATCACAGACACAAGGTTGCGAATTTGATTCCAGACAGGGGCTCCAGGGTTAACTCAGTCTGGCATCCTTTTGAGGTCACTAAAGTAAGTACCCAGCTTGTTGGGGGGAATTAACCGACATACTGTAAACTGCTTAGGGGTTGCTTGGTTTAGTATGAAGCAGCATATAAATGTAGCTGCTACTGCTATATCCTTGGGAA